ACAGGAGAATAGACAGGAGCATCCTTCTATTACTTTTGGATTGAGATATCTTAGACAAAGTAGAAAAAAAATTAATGTAATTTTTGAAAGATAGACAAAACTATTGAAAGATAGACAAAACTATTTATGGTCTGCTCCCTCCTTCCTTTATGTTTGCACATTCTGTTGCCTTTTTAAATTTTCCCATGCTTCTTTCCTTAAGATAGCCTTCACATCAGGCGGTGGTGGCATACATCTTCAATCCCAGCACTCAGGAGACAGAAGAGTCAGATCTCTATGAGTTCAAGTCCAATCTGGTCTACAGAGTGAGTTCTAGGTCAGCCAGAGTTGTAACACAGAGAAACTCTGTCTCAAAAAACAAACAAACAAACAAACAAAACACAAAATCAACAACAAAAGATCTTTCATGCCTCTCATGGTCCCTCTTCTTTTTCTAAAATGTTTCTAATATTTTAAAAAATACTTTTTAAAAAGATTTATTTTTTTTAATGTGTGTGTGTGTGTGTGTGTGTGTGTGTGTGTACTTGCACATATGAGTGCAGGTACCAGTAGTTACCAGAAGAGGGCACTAGATTCCCTGCAGTTGGAGACACAGGAGGTTGTAGATAGAATACCAGACATACGGAAATGGAACTTGGGCCCCTTGTAAGAGCAGCAAGCTCTCTTCCCCCTCCCCCTTTTTTTTTAATCTGTACCGATCCTACTCAAATAAACCTATGCTCCAAAACATGTGACATTTGTCTTTCAAATCCTTTGCTTAATATATTTTTCAGTTCCATTCATTTTCCTAAAAGAGTCACTATTTCCTTTTTCTTTATGGTTGAATAAAAAAATTCCCTTGTGTATCTTTACCATATTTTCTTCATGTGTTCATCTGTTGGTATGCCTCTAGGCTGGTTCCATTTCTTAGCTATTTTGAGCAGTTTTTCAATAATGTGCATGTATCTATCTGCTCAGGCATCTCTGAAGCAGCTGAAGGCCACCATGTTAAAGCAAAATTGTTTCTTCCAGAATGTAAGGTATTTCCATTTACAAAGGCAGTTCATGCCCCAAACGGGCATTTTCCAGCATTACTACTCTACTATTTTATTTTCTGAAAGTCTGTGTCATGCCAGCACTGGACCAGGTTTATTTTTATTTTTTTGTCATTAAGAATCTGATATAAAACATGTCTTTCTTTCATATTTTAATGATGTTAATAATATATTATTGCTACATATTTATTTATTCATAGAGTTCATTTGTATCCAGCTAATAATCTCATTCTGGCAGATGTATCACTTAATAAGTAAAAATGATCAAAATCTAGAGAGAACAACATTTAATTGCCTGTGTAAGACGAAGGCTCATAGAATGCAAACAGGTTCGTCAAACAGCTGTTCCCATGACACCTCAATTACGCAGAGAAGTTTTATATAGGTCTTACTCACCGTGTCATTTTTAAACTGTGGGAGGATATCTTACCAGTGTAAACAATAGGAATAAAAGGATTGAATTTTAAAAACAAGGAAGTAAGTGCTCAGAAAAATAATCTGCTCTATCAGTGCCATCTCCTCCCAGGTGTTAGAACTGATGGGCACGGTTTTCACATGATGTTTGTTCATACCCAGGTTTGGTCATGTGGTCCCCAGCTACCCTTTCTGGAAGCAATGACAACTACATCTAGATAATGTTTGTATTTAGATTCTCTGAAAAATTGTATGTAACAGAGAACATGGGTGTCCAAAGAAGTCAGACTCTAGAATTGTTCTTTCTTTCTTTCTTTCTTTCTTTCTTTCTTTCTTTCTTTCTTTCTTTCTT